CACAGCCCCTCCTTCCTCAGACCCAGGAGTCTAGACCCCCAGGCCCCCCTCTCTGAGACTCAGGAGTTCAGGTCCCCAGCTCCTCCTCCCTCAGACCCAGGAGTCCAGGTCCCCAGCTTCTCTCCTCCAGGACCTCAGAGTCTGTGCCCCCACCCCCTCCACCCTGGGTCTCAGGGGTCTGAATTCCAAGTCCCTTCTCTATGAAGGGCCCAGGGGTCTGGGCAGCCAGCCCCTGCCCTTTGAATACCCTGAATCCCTACTCTGCCCCCACCTCCACCCTGCTCCCACCCCAGGTGTCCCCTTCTGCTAGGCTCACCTGTCTGTCCTTTGCCCAGTGTCTTCTCCAGCCGATAGGGGCCCACATATTGGGCATGCTGGGGTGGGTGGGGGTGGGGGTGGGGGAGGTGGTAGGCAGGAGAGCCCCCGCCTCCCTCCTTGGCCCCGGACGACATGGTGCCCTTGGTCCCGGCCCGACCGGTCCCCCGGCCGCCCCCCCTGCGGCCGGTCGCCCCGTCTCTCCGGTGGGGGCCGGCGACCGCTCCGTCCCGGCCCCCCCGGCTGCCCCCCACCTCTCCGGGGGTCCCCAGGGGGCTGGGCTGGCCCCCCCCAGTCGGCGGGCCGCGGAGCTGGGGGAGGGGGGGCTGGCCCGGGGGGTCAGGCCCCGGGAGTCAGCATGGCCCGGGGGGGCTGCGGGGCCCCCCCTCCCCAGCCCTTTTCTGGCCGGCCCCCCGCTTCCTGCGCCTCCCCCCACCGGGGGGGTCTGAGGTGCGGGCCGGCGGATGCTGCAGGCCGAGGTCCCCCCCGCCCCCCCCACGCGCCCTCTCTCCTCCGCCTCCTCCTCCTCTCCGCCTCCCCCCGCCACCTCGTCCTTTCTCTCCGGCACGCTGACATCACCATCCGGGGACTCCGGGCCCTTCCCCAAAGTTAACCCTTTCGGAGGGGGGAGGGGGAGCGCCGGGGGGGGAGGGGGCGGGCCTCCAGTTGGAGGGATGGAGATGAGGTGGGAGGATGCAGGAGAGAGGATGGAGGGAAGGATGGGGAGAGAGAGAGGACCCAACAGATGGGGTAGAGATGGAGATACACAAAGAGAGATGCTGGCTGACACAGAGACCGGAGATTGGCAGACACCGACAGAGACAGGCTGAGGCAGAGAGGGAGGGCAGAGACGGGCAGGCACAGAAGAGAAGGAAGGAATGGCAAGCCGGGCAGACAAGACAGGGAGAGGGAGAGGGAGCTGCTGGAAGCCAACAGAGGGATGGAGAGTCAGAGACTCCGAGAGACAGAGAGAGGAAGGCCTGCCAGAGAGGTGGGGGAGAGGCACGGGGCGGGGGGCGGGGGGCCGCAGGGGGACCGGGGGTACACACAGGTGGAGGGGCACGTGCTGGGGAGAGGTGGGGATAAATTGAGGTAGACAGAGACAGAGAAGGGAAAGAATTCTTGGAGTTGCTGGCCCAAAACTCATCTCTGTTTCCCTAGCCTTCTAAGCTCACCCACCCAGGTCTTTGTGGGCAAAGTCTGTGTCCCTGCCAATGTCAAGGCTCCATATCTACCCACAGCCCAGACTGATTTAGGATTCACTTTACTTCTACAGAGAAGATTCCAGAACCCCCTGAACTCCGTGTATGTTTTTAGACCCCCACGTATTCTCTGTCCTCATCACAGGGTCCTTTACATCTTCACGTGGGCCCTGGTGTACCCCATACATCCCCACTGCAGCTCATCCCCCAGCATGTGCTTTTCCTGTGAGTAACCCAGCTGCCCCCATTAGCTTTCCCCATAAGCCATAGATCCCTCTATGACATGTACCCGAAAGTGTTAGATGCCCCTTTAATTCTCAAGTCCCCTATAAAGAGCACCCAGGGCTGGGCAAGGTGGCTCATGCCTGTAATCCCAACATTTTGGGAGACCAAGGTGGGAAGATTGCTTAAGATCAGCCTGGACAACAAAGCGAGACCCGATCCCTACAATAATATTTTTAAAAATTAGCCAGGCATGGTGGCATGTGCCTGTAGTCCCAACCACTGGGGAGGCTGAGGCTTGGACCAATGAGTTGAAGGTTGCAGTGAGCTATGTTTGTACCACTGCACTCCAACCTGAGCAACAGAGCAACAGAGTGAGGTCCTGTCTCTAACAAAAATAAAACAAAATGCACCCAGGAGCCCTTTGGCTCCTGTGAGATTTCCAAATCCCCTATTCAACACCTTAAGTCCACAAATCTTTAATGAGTGCCAAATCTCAGCCAGGCACTGTACCTATCAGTAAGAACATGGCAGTGACCTAAATCAGCAAAAAGCCCTGTCCTGTGGAGCTTCCATGCTGGTGGATGAAACAGATGATCAACAAGGTCGATGGGCAAAATGTATGGTGTGTTAGCTAATCTGAGGAGGTGACTACAGCAGGGAAGGAGATTAAGAGGGGCCTGTTGAGCAGGGTGCAATTTGTTGGCCAGGAAGCAAAATAAGAGTTTGAGCCATGAAGGGCAAGGGGCATTCCAGGCAGGGGAAACAGCAGGTGCAAAGGTCCTGTGGCAGGAGTGTGTCTGGTGTGTTGTGGAAGCATTGAAGGGGCCAGTTCGGCTGGAGAGGAGCAAGCGAGGGAGACCAAGAAGAAAGGAGACCAGGAAGCGGATCATATGGACCCATAGAGGTAGAGTGGCCATATGTCCTGGTTGATGCCCAGTCCTCTGTAACTTTCTTTTTTTTTTTTAAAGACAGAGTCTTGCTCTGTCTCCCAGGCTGGAGTGCAGTGGCACGATCTCAGCTCACTGCAACCTCTGCCTCCTGGATTCAATTGATTTTCCTGCTTCAGCCTCCTGAGTAGCTGGGATTACAGGCATGCACCACCACACCTGGTGAAATTTTTGTGTGTTTATTTATTTATTTATTTATTGAGATGGAGTCTTGCTCTGTCTCTGGAGTGCAGTGGCACAATCTCAGCTTACTGCAACCTTCACCTCCCAGGTTCAAGCAGTTCTCCCTTCTCAGCCTACAAGTAGCTGGGATTACAGGCATATGCCACCACACCCAGCTAATTTTTTGTATTTTTAGTGCAGATGGGGTTTTACCATGTTGGCCAGGCTGGTCTTGAACTTCTGACCTCATGATCTGCCCACCTCAGCCTCCCAAAGTGCTGGGATTACAGGTGTAGGCCACTGTGCTAGGCCTTTTTTTTAGTAGAGACAGGGTTTCCCCATGTTGGCCAGGCTGGTCTCAAACTCCTGACCTCGTGATCCACCCTCCTTGGCCTCCCAGTTACGGGTGTGAACCACTGCACCCGGCCAGTTCTGTAACTATTAATGGATCCCTTTGTGCTCTCAAATATCTTGCTATAGATGAAAAATTATATGATCACTCTCTGTCTTTTTTTTTTTTTTTTTGACAGGGTCTTCCCTCTGTTGCCCAGGCTGGAGTGCCATGGGGCAATCATAGCTTCCTGCAGCCTTGACCTTCTTGGCTCAAGTGATCCTCCTGCAGCGTCCCATGCAGCTGTGACTATAGGAAGATGCCATCACGCATGGCTAATTCTTGTATTTTTTTGTAGGGATGGGGTCTCGTTATGTTGCCCAGGGGGTCTGGAACTCTTGGTTTCAAGTGATCCTCCCATCTTGGCTTCCCGAAGTGTGAGATTATAGGCCTAAGACACTGCATCTGGGCGTGTATTCGGACATCTGCATCCGAATTCCCAGGATCTGTGCACAGGTTATCTTGCGTGGCTGAAGGGACTTCGTCCATTTGACTGAGATAGGGAGGTGATCCTGGCTATTTGGGTGAGCTCAATGGCATCACAAGAGTACTTGTGAGAGGGATGCAGGAGCAGTCAGTGACAGAGTCGGAAGACGAAGTAGAGCTCAAGGTGATGGGGCCACCTGTCAAAGAACGAGTGTGGCCTCTAGAAGCTGGAAAAGGCAAGAAAAACACTCTCCCCTGAGCGTCCAGAAGGCATGCAATCCTGCTGACAGCTCGGTTTCAGCCCCATGAAACCCATTGTGGGTTTCTGCCTTCCATAACTGCAAGATAATACATGTGTGCTCTTTGAAGCCACCACATTTTTAGTAATTTGTTAACAGCAGTAATAGGAAACTAATATAATAGGACATCCACAGGCCCAGACGCACCTAACAACACAGTGCTAGAAACACCACACACACATACACACACACACACACACACACACACACACAGGCGCGCACACACACGTACACGCGGACACCCACAGCCTATCTGTTTGGTCTTCCCGTTTCTGCCCAAAATATCCCTCTGCACAACCACTCCCAGCAGGTGGTTGATAACATTTGTGACTGTGGGCCCATTTTGCGTTGAGCACAATCTTTTCCTGGAGGAAAACGCCTCCTGTCCAGGACCAACACGAGAGTTTCTTTAAGCCCAGCCCAGGGCCAACACCTCTGCAGACCAGGCCCGCACCAGCAGGTGCCCAGGCCTAAACCCCACGTCTGGAGCGCAGTGTCCTCGGGCCTCCCCAGCAAGCTGGCTCTTCTGGCGCTCTGGATCTTGCCAGGCTCTGGGGCACTTTGCTTTCCGGCCCCAGGGCTTACGAATCCTCTCCTCTCTACCTGGCAAGACATTGGAAACATTCCATAAGGGAGAGGCTGAATAATGAGAGGGGTCCACGCTGCAGCTCCATTTGACGAATGGGTAAACTGAGACCGAGAGAGGCGTTGGGGGGGCCTAAGACTCACAGGCCAGCCGTTACAGTTGCGACCCCAGGGCCCCAGTAGATGGGGTGGTGGCCCCAGTGGAGGGGAAAGTCAGATTAGGGGGCAAAGCCCCAAATCCTCTAAGGATGAGGTACCTGCATGACTGACAGTAATAGAGTGGGCGGGGCAAGAAAAGAGGGCGGGGCCTAACTGGGAGAGGTGATGGGTCTAAAACAGGGGCGGGAATGTTAGTGTGGGCGGGGTTATAAGGGGATGGGTCAGATCTGGGGGCGGGGCTCGAGTCAGGACAGGGGTGGTGCTTGCAATAAGGATCGGGGGCGGGACTCGCCGGGGTGCAAAAACTGGGCCAGGGGCGGGGCTTCGGCCGGCGACGTGAGCGTGAAGGGGCGGGGCCTGCACGAAGGCGCATCAGAGCTTGGAGGCGGGTCCTGGATGGGAGGGGCGGGGCCGAATGCAGCATTCGGCCAAGTGAGAAGATGCCGAGAGCCGGGCAAGCGGCTTCAGCCTCATCCACGGCCCGAAGTTAGGTGGGTACACCTGGAACTTCCGGGTGAAACCGTGCGCATTTCCGGTTAAGATGGCGGCGCCCAGCAGAGGCTGGTGCGGGCGACTTTGTCTGTAGGAGCAGCGACGGCTTGAGGACCCGGGGAGGTGAGATCCTACCCACTCCGGCGCCCGTCTTCGGAGAGGAGGGAGAAGACTTGTTGCTAAGGCGTCCAAAGGGCGGGCTTGTTGCTATGGAGGTGGAGCAGTTGGGTTGCTAAGAGACGGGACGCACGCAGTGGAGATGGGGAAGGGGAGTTGTTGCCAGGGAGAGTGGGTGGGGCCTGTTGCCAGGGAGAAAGGAGGGGCTTATGACTTTGGGGAAGGGTCTTGTGGGTATGAAGGAAGGACAAGGGCCTTTGGTTAAGGGGACTGGGGGCAGCGTGATTTGGGGTGATGGGGGGGCACCAAGCGCCCCTAAAACGCCGCCTTCTCAGCAGACCCTCAAGAATCGACCCGTCAGGACACCAGAGCTGCTTCAGCGGTGAACACCTTCTCCCCTTAACATATTCTTCCCTTCACAAACTGCCCATGGCGGACGAAGGCTCAAGGGGCAGCCGCCTGCCCCTGGCACTACCCCCGGCCTCCCAGGGTTGCTCTTCAGGGGGGGGCGGCGGCGGCGGCGGCGGCAGCGGCGGCGGCTCCGGCTCCGGCTCCGGCTCCTACTCGGCCGGGGGGTCGGGCAATTCCCGGCCCCCACGCAACCTTCAAGGCCTGCTGCAGATGGCCATCACCGCTGGCTCTGAAGAGCCAGACCCTCCTCCAGAGCCCATGAGTGAGGAGGTAAAGGATGGGGACCCAAGAAGCTGGCGTGAGGGGCCTGGGGACAGAGAGAGGTACCTTGGAAAGTGTGACTTGCTGAGCAAGTGGGTGGGACGCAGGAGTCCAGGTGTGGAGGCATTGTGGGCTATAATTTGTGCTAGATGGAGTCATCGTTGATTGAAGGTCAGATCTCAAGAGTGCCTGAGGGACAGATCCTCTCAAGAGCTAGACCGACCTGGATTCAGCATTGTCCAGCTGTGTGACCTTGGGCATATTACTTAATCGTTCTGAGTCTCAGTTTTCTTCATTTTCAAATTGATAATAACTACTTTATAGGGTAATTCTGAGCTTCCACTTTAAGTAGGGCTGCACACAGTGCCCAGCATACAGACAGTGCATCTCAAGGCAGCAGTATGTTTTCATGAAGAGCACAGGCTCTGTAGTCCGGCTGCTTTTTTTTTTTTTTTTTTGGGGGGGGGTGGGCAGAGTCTTGGCTGGAGTGCAGGGGCACAGTCTTGGCTTCCAGCAACCTCTGCCTCCCAGGTTCAAGCAATTCTCGTGCCTCAGTCTCCCAAGTAGCTGGGATTACAGGCATAGGCCACCATCCTTGGCTAATTTGTGTATTTTTAGTAGAGAAGGGGTTCCACTATGTTGGCTAGGCTGGTCTTGAACTCGTGTACTCAAGTGATCCACCTGCCTCGGCTTCCCAAAGTGCTGAGATTACAGGTGTGAGCTGCCACACCTGGCCTAGACTGCTTGGGTTTGTTTTCAGGCTTTGCTAATTGCTGACTATGTGACCTTGGGTAAGTCACAACCTTTCTGTGCCTCAACTTTCTCATTTGCGAAGTAGGGATAACAATGATACATACCTCATAGAGTTGTTTTGCCGATTAATAGCAATAGCTATTATATATAATGTTTAATTGGCAATCACTGTATACAGAGCATTGTGCTAACCCACTTACATACATGATGTCATTGAACCTTTAGGATATAGTGAGGCAGGAAGCAGGCACAGAAACATTAAATAGCTCACTCAAATTTACTTAGAACTGTGACTAAGGAGACCTCTTTTTTTTTTTTTTTGAGACGGAGTTTCGCTCTTGTTACCCAGGCTGGAGTGCAATGGCATGATCTCGGCTCACCGCAGCTTCCGCCTCCTGGGTTCAAGCAATTTTCCTGCCTCAGCCTCCCGAGTAGCTGGGACTACAGGCGCGGGCCACCATGCCAGGCTAATTTTTGTATTTTTAGTAGAGACGGGGTTTCACCTTGTTGACCAGGATGGTCTCCATCTCTTGACCTCGTGATCCACCCGCCTCGGCCTCGCAAAGTGCTGGGATTATAGGCTTGAGCCACTGCGCCCGGCCAGGAGACCTCTTAAGAGTACTCGACACAGGGTCTGCTCCCTTCCCTCCCCCCCAAAAATTCCAGCACTCACTTTTTAGCTCTCACCTCCTTTTTAATTTTATTATTATTATTTTTTTGAGACAGAGTCTCGCTCTGTCGCCCAGGGTGGAGTGCAGTGGCGCAATCTTGACTCACTGCAACCTTTGCCTTTCAGGTTCAAGCGACTCCCTTTGCCTCAGCCTCCCAAGTAGCTGGGATTACAGGCACACACCACCATGCCTGGCTAATTGTTGTATTTTTTAGTAGAGACGGGGTTTCACCATGTTGGCCAGGCTGGTCTCGAACTCTTGACCTCAGGTGATCTGCTCACCTCAGCTTCCCAAAGTGCTGGGATTACAGATGTGAGCCACCGCGCCCGGCCTCATATTGTTGTAAGGCTTTACTCTGACGAGTCTCAAATTTATATCGCTAGGCCAGTAGTTCTCCACTGGGTGTGAATTTTATTCCCCAGGGGACGATTGGTGTGGAGACGTTCGTGGTTGTCACAGCTGGAGGCTGTGGGTGAAGCACCCAGTGGGTGAAGGCCAGGGATGCTGTTCAACATCCTCCGGTGCACAGGACAGCTACACCACGGAGAACTAGCCAGCTCAAAGTGACATTAGCGCTAAAGCTGAGAAATTCTGGTCTAGGCTGGACCTCGACTCTGGGCTTCAGGCAGCTTCCTCAGTCATTTACCTTGGATGTATTATAAATCCCTCCAATTTGACAGATTTGAAAATGAGCTTTAATCCCTGCTCTTCCCACTCCAAATCCACTTTTCGAACCATCTTCCCCATCTTTTCCTGGTTGCTCAGAACAGAGACCTTGGAGTCATCCTTGACCTCTTTCTGTCACACCTCATATCTCACTACATCAAATTGGCTCTCTTTTCAAAGTAAGTCCAGGATCTGGGCATTTCTCCCCACTCCCTCTCTCCTCCCTGCTCCACACCACCTTCTCTTCTGCCTCGTCCCAACCGTAGCCTCCTGATGTATCTTCCTGCACCTGCCCTCCCCTCTCCTCAGTCTGTCCTCAATCAATAGCAACGCAGGTGTCCCCCACTTCTCTGATCAGTGCCCTCTGGCAGCTCCTACACCTATTCAGAGGGAAATGCCAGGTTTTTACAAAAGTTTGCAAGACCTGATGTCATCTGCTCCCCTCACCTCTCCCTCCCTCCTTGCTCACTCTGCCTCCACCACATTGGCCTCCTGGCTGTTCCTTCTGCCTGGAACATTCTTCTAGGTGTGGCCTGGCTCAGTCCCTCACCTGCTGCTTTTCTCACAATTGCCTCCCTGGGACCCTCAGTGACCAACCCATTTTTTTTTTTTTCTCTCAGAGACAAGGTCTTACTCACTGCAGCCTTAAACTCCTGGGCTCCAGCCTTCTCCGCACTCAGCTTTCTGAGTAACTGGGCCATCCTCCCCGCTCAGCTTTCTGGGACCACAGGCATGCCACACCACGCCCAGCTAATTTAAAACATTTTTTTGTGGAGATGGGATCTCTCTATGTTACCCAGGCTGCTCTTAAATTCTTGGGCTCAAGGGATCCCCCTGCCTCAGCCACCCAAAGGGCTGGGATTATAGGTGTGAGTTTATTTCCTTTATTGACTGCTCTTTAACCTGAATGTGAGCCCCACCCCCACCCCCAGAGCAGGAGTTTCTTTCTGGCCCGGGGCTGCCTCTAGTACCTAGAAAAGTGTCTGTGAATAAAATAGATGTTCAGTAGATTATGTCTTTTTCTTTTTTAGACAGAGTCTTGCTCTATTGTCCAGGCTGGAGTGCAGTGTTGTGATCTCGGCTCACTGCAACCTCCACCTCCCAGATTCAAGCAACTCTTATGCCTCAGCCTCCCAAGTAGCTGGGACTACAGGCTCAGACCACCATGCCTGGCTAAGTTTTTGTATTTTAGTAGAGTTGGGGTTTCACCATGTTGCCCAGGCTGGTCTCAAACTCCTGAGCTCAGGCACTCCGCCCACCTCTCCCTCCCAAAGTGCTAGGATTAAAGACATGAGCTACCATGCCTAGCTAATATTTATTGACCAAAGGAACATCAGCACTCAGTTGTTGGCTGTCTTTATGAATGGCTGTTACTTTTTAATTAATGACTGATAGATATCTCCTTTCCTCCTTCCCTTGGTCCCCCAGAGGCGTCAATGGCTTCAGGAGGCCATGTCGGCTGCCTTCCGAGGCCAGCGGGAGGAGGTAGAGCAGATGAAGAGCTGCCTCCGTGTACTGTCACAGCCCATGCCCCCTGCTGCTGGTGAGGCGGAGCAGGTGGCAGACCAGCAGGAGCGAGAGGGGGCCCTGGAGTTGCTGGCCGACCTGTGTGAGAACATGGACAATGCTGCAGGTATCCTGCTTCCCCTGCCAGGACGTCCTGCCCCTCTGCACCTGTCCTGCTGCCACTCAGCTCTTGTCCCTACTCTTGGGGATCACACCATCAGCCTCCTTGCTGGCCTTCTGCCACCAGCCTCCTCACCTCCATTGCCATAGGGAGCAAGGCTCTTCCTCCCCACCATGGCAGGTCAGGTCCCCAACTTCCCTGATAAGCTCTGAGATGGCCATTTCTCTCCCAGTCCTCTGGGTGTCCACTGCCACTCCCCAAAGTGCAAGAGAGAAAGTGGCATGGGGTGATCTGAGCAGAGAAGGCCTCCCCAGGGCCAAGATTTGATCAGACCTGAAGTGAGGTGAGAGTTGTGGGATGATCTCTAGGAAAAGCATTCTAGACAGCGGGAACAGCCAGTGAGGCCAGAATGTGTCTGGTGTGTTCAGAAACAGCAGCCAGGCCCTTGAGGCAGAGCAGAGTGAGTGAGGGGCCAGGCACAGGAAACAACACTGGGGTGGGCAGGGCCTTGCAGTCCCAGGTAGAGGCTGTTTTTCTCCCAGCAGCAGAGCTGACAGAAGGTTTGAGAGCCCACTTCCATTTGCAGGGGTGGTGTGGTATAGCCATTGAGGGCGTGGATTTGGGGTGTCATTTCCTTGGTTCTTGGTTCAGTCTGTGCGGCTACATGGCAGTCTGGTTCAGGCAGTTCCTGGTTACTTCCTCTTGTACACAGGCTGGTGAGGATGGGCTGAGAGAAACCCCCAGGCCCGAATAGGCATAGAGTAAATGTAACGTGTCAGGCATGGGAGTCCAGGTGTCTTCATTTTGGGCAGGGGCTGGATGGAGATTGGGAAACCCTCCTTTGTGAGTGCATTCAGCGCCCTGAGAAGACCCGCAGTGCAGCTGCCCCCCGACCCCCAGCTTACTTTTCCCCAGTGTTTCCTAGCCTTATCTGGACAGAGAACCCCGCTCCAATCCGCAGGATGGCTTTTAACGACTTTGCTCTTTCATTCAGTTTTCGCTTGTTCAGGAAATATCTGTTGAGCAGCTGCTGTGTGCTAAGCATGGTGCTGAGTGTCCAATCACAGCAGCAGCAATTTTATACCTTATTAGTAATCAAATGAGAAGGAAAGCCAAAGATACCATTTCCTCCCTGGCCTTGTGTGCTCTCTCTATATAAATATAAATATATATGTGGATCTTTTCTTTCTTAGTAAAGATGCCCAGTGATGGTGAAGATGGACTGAGGGGAGCATCCTCCCACATGGCTGTTTATACCACTTACTGTCAATTCACAATGTTGTGCAACACCACCTCTATTTCCAGAACTTCTCCATCGCCCCCAAAGGACAGCCAGCACCCATTAAGCAGGCCCTCCCCCGGCCCTCTGGCAACCACTCATCAATGTTTTGTCTCTGAATTCGCCCATTCTGGACATTTCATATAGACGCTTATAACATGTGACCTTTTGTGTCTGGCTGATTTCACTCAGCACAGTGTGTTAAAGGCTTGCCCAGATGGTGGTATGGCATGTGTCAGTGTTAGAGCTTTATATTCCCCCAACTCTTTTTTTTTTTTTTTTTTTTTT